CTGGTGCCCCTGGTGCCCCTGGTGCGATTGCGACTCTTCTGCCGACGACCTGGCCGTCCGGCGGCGGTGGCGGCGGTTGCAGTGGATCGATTTCTTCGGGTGCACACATCGCCCGATTTGGCCTTCTTCAGTGCTCGCTTGATTTGCGCCGTTGCACTGTGCCAGTTGAGGACTGTCCTCGCGGTGAACCGAGTTTCCCGTCCATTGCCCACCCCCACAATGACAAACTTCTGTTTACGCTTGGAGGTGGCCAAGGCAAGGCCGGCCAGTCCAGAGTCGGCGATTGCATTGCTCATCGTCTCGTTCACCGCCACGTTCAGTGGCAGGGTGGAATTGAGGTTTCCGTAAATGACTTTGTACTTTTTGACGCGCAGCTGACTGGCCCGTACATTAATGGCACCTGACTTGATCACTAGAGCGGAAGATCATGTGTCAGAGAGAGAGAGAGAGAGAGAGAGAGAGAGAGAGAGAGAGAGAGAGAGNAGAGAGAGAGAGAGAGAGAGAGAGAGAGATAGTGGAAAAGTCTAAATTGGAGCACCAAGAACTTACCCCAGTCTGATTTGCAGATGAAATCCAGCAAACGACGGAAAAGTTTTTCGTCTTCTGGAGAAGCAGCAGAAGCAGTTTGGTTCACCTTGGCCTGGTCACGACCACTGCCGGGTACAAAGTTGCCACCAGGCAGTGGCTTTGGCTGTGACTGTGACGGCTTTGGTGGCCTAGAGAGAGGCGGTGTGTTTGAAGGGCTGCTCGACTGCGATTGAATGCACATGTTGTTGTCCAGGGGAAAGTAGTCGCAGCGCATAATGTTCGGCCAGGTGTAGCCGTGCTTGCGCATATGAGGCTCACAGCTCTTCTGGACGTCTTCGCACAGAGACCGACAGGGAGGTATTGTCTGGTCAAGGCATCTGTAATTGCAATTGACAGTTAAGCATACCATAGAGCAAATGACAGTACACCGAATAGCTACGACGTACATTGGCGTAAAGAGCGAACAGAGGAAGAGCTGCGTCTCAGGGTGGCATTTGAGATTGATGAGGCTGGTCCAGGACGCCGACTGTTCGATCACTTCATTGAGACTGTCATGGTGCAGCAGGTTGGGAATTCGCATTTCACTGTACTTGATGCCGTAGCAGAGGGTCAGATTAGCAGGAATGGGCACACAGACGGGTGGGTTCGAAAAGGCTGAGTATGGCCTGGTGAGAAAATAAAGGAAGTTTTAGTTTGGCTGATTAACTGATTGCAAAGTCCCCCTTGTTACCGTCTCCAGGTTGTGTCGATGCTGCCTGGGCTGTTAGGGTCCCAGATGAAAGTGTTGCCGTGCACTGGACTGCTGAACAGTGCCAGCACCACCCAAAGGTGGCAGCCAAAGATGAAAGAGGCCCAGCGAAGTGGGAAGAACATCATTGTCAGTGCGAGGTTGTCCTTCTGCTGGAACACGAGTGAACACTGCAACTGTCGCTGCGAGAAACTCAAGACTGAGAGAGCAGTCAGTCACCACTGGCCACTACTGTCAACGACCACTGGATTTGATTAATTGAGACTTCCTGTTCGATGCTGCAACGATTGCAATTGATCAAGGAGGACAAGAGAAGGAAGAGAGAAGGGAGACGAAGCTGAGGCTGCAACNGACTCAAGACTGAGAGATCAGTCAGTCACCACTGGCCAACACTGTCAACGACCACTGGATTTGATTAATTGAGACTTCCTGTTCGATGCTGCAACGATTGCAATTGATCGAAGAGGACAAGAGAAGGAAGAGAGAAGGGAGACGAAGCTGAGGCTGCAACTGCCTTTTTATTGTGAATTTATTGGTCGGTGCTGGTGTTAGTGTGTGCTGTACAGAATATCAGTGCTCTTCGCCACGAGACTTTGCATCGGAAGAGAAAGCAAAGTCGCAGATTGACTTGATGCGGGCACACACACACACTCACTGCTGACTGGGCCAATTGTGAAGTGGCTGGTGCCTGTCAAGTGAGAAGTGAGCTGATTCGGGGGCTCGACGATCTGTCAGTGCTGCTGCTGCTGCCGATGCCAAACAGTGAGGAAGGGTGGACGACTGGCTGGCTGACTGGTGAGACGAGCCACTAGTACCCTCGCACACTAGTGTGCCACCGACACGCGAACACCGTCGGCGAGAGAGTGAGAGAGAGAGAGAGATGTGATTCGTGTGATAAACTCGATCGCGCGCGGGCAGCCAAACAAACTGCAGAATCCGAAGAGGGTAAGACGTGCAACAGACGAGACACTGTCAAATTGACTGTCTCTTTTTTCTCTCCTTCCCTCCCTCTCACTTCTCTTCTTCAACCGGGGTTGTCTTTCGCTCTTTATCTGGCTGAGCACCACTACCACCACTTGGGCACACTGCAAAGTCAATCCAGCAGCTGCAGAGTTGTGACTAGGCCAGCAGTGGTGGTGGTGGTGGTGGGCAGCTTTGTCTCGGGACCGCCTGTGGCGGACACAGTGCTACTGTGTGTTTGGCACTTCTGGATCGACACAGGCAGACAAGGCTCACTGGGAGACCAGATTTAGCAGAGACAAGCTTGGCCTCACCGAGAAACTGTGCACTGGTCCCCTGTGATGGACACGCAGAGATGACGCAGAGACGGGTGAGAGTGAGGAGTGAATGGGTGAGTGTGAGGCAGGAGAGTGGTGGGCCCGAATGAACAGCTTCAGCAATCAGGAGGATGGCTTAAATTAAGCCTTAATGCACTGAGAAGACAACAGCACTTGGGAAGCAGCAGCAGCAGCAGCTGTGACCAGAGCCAGTGAGCCAGTTTGCCACAGTCAGTCAGTAAAGTCAGCCAGTGTGATTGACTCACTTTGTCTTCGAACTTGCCAACTTCAAATGTAGCGTAAACATCTCTCACTCGTCCAGGCCATAATGAACAAGACAGATATAAAAAAGTGCAGACGTGCCAGGCAGTGAAGAGGTTAGCAGACGATGAAAGAGAAGTGATGGAGATGAAGCGCGACCACCACCAATGATGGAAAGGCAGTCAGTGCAGACACTGACACTGTTGCCAATGCCTAGTGTCTTCTGCTAATGCACTGGCTAATGCACTGTGCAACAACAGCTCCAGCACCATTGCCGTCTTCGACCACACGGAGGACGGGTGGTGGTGATGCAGTTCAAGACCAGGCTCAAGGCTCGTCTGCCTGCTTGGAAAGACAGCGGTTGGTCTTGTCCACAGTGACAGAAAGGCAGTGTTCCCTGTCAGTGGCAACTCGCAGCAAGAGATGAACTGAAAAGGGCACAAGCTGAAGCGCAACAGACCACTCTCGACAGCCCCTTCAGCTTCTTTCTTCAGAATAAACCTCTTCTTTTTCGTCTTATTGCCGTGTAAAGATCAACTGTTGATTGGGTTGCGGGGTTGGTGATGTCAGTGGTGGTGAGATGATTCACCGTAAACACGTTGTTTGCAAATCTTGAAGTCTGCAGCCTCGTCTGAGTGAACGTTTATTATTATTTCTGGTTATTGCGTCTGCTGAAACGATGACGATGATTCAGAGAGCTTGCGAATGTGAAATCCATTTGGCAAAAATAAGCTGGCTTGTTAGGGGAGCAACAAACAAAACAAAATCACAATTGTTGTATACTGAAGGAGGAAAGTCGTGAGGAAGACTTAGGCGTAGGGCATCCAGTTGCTGCCATCCTCGGGCATGAGGTTGCCTGTAATTAGAAGGATAATGTCGACAATCCACCAGATGCCCACGCCACCGATGGTGAGCATCTTTCCGATGGCTGTGCCAGTATGGCCAAGGTAGAAACGATCCATTCCGAGGAAGCCGAGTAAAAGTGAGAAGAGCAAAGTGGTCACAAAGTAGTGGCCGTTGTAGCGAAGACAGGGAAACCCGTAACGTATGAAGCTCTTGTTTCCGTAGCACTCAATATCCTTGATCACATGGCAGTATCGTGAACCCATGTACACATCTGTAAAAGAATATTAGTACTTTCTGGTGTCTTTAAAGAAGTACAACTGTTACCTTTGCTGTTTTGTCCACCAAACTTCAAACAGCCCAAGTTGCCTGATTGTTCAAGTGAAGTAACATTGCCTTGGTGGTCAATCAGATCGTCACAGTCAATAAAGTCCAGAGGAAGATAACTGCAGGGCACGTAGGCAGAGTGAGCACCATAGTCCTGTCCAGGACAAAAGTTGTTGTCGTTGCAGTCCATTTCCGAATGTTCGGTGAGTTCATTTTCAACAAACGGTGAAAGATCACTGAGGCTAGAGTCGTTTGCCTGGCTCTCCGGCAATCGATGGCAGATGAGGATGAGTGCTAGCAGTACTACCGAGGGGACTAGCATGGCTCTTCTCGAGTCCACCAACGCGGATAACTTGAACATCATCATCGGTGATATCAACTAAAAGAACAAAGCATTTTTCTGTTTATCACCTCACCGCCAACGCTGACTTTCTTAAACACACACAGCTGATTTCTAGCAGATGCACACATTTACACAGTGCAAGTGTAGCACAATTGAACTGCCCTGCAAAGTGGTGGAATAGTGAGAACAAAAGATTTTATTGTTTTTTGTGACAGACAAGGGAGTTCATGCCCAAAGCTGCAGTGAAATGGATAAATACAAATACAGTGTCCATTAGTGTGAAAATAATTGCTGTTGCAACGGGAAATGCTAATGTACAGCAGTGGCTACCGATCTGTTCGTGTGTGGTTGTGTGTGAGAAGTAGTGGGAAGAATGGGGAGATGTGTGAGGAGAGGTAAGGTGATTAATTTTGGAAATGTTTGTGGTCGTCAGTTTGAAAGTGGAAATATCCCGTGGTATATTAATTGTTTTTAATTTACGATAAAATAATACTCCAGTCCGAGTGGTGAAGTGCACTGCAAGTATCGGATTTCTTCTTCACATTCAGAGAGTGCTCAATTGATTGTGAAAGTGATGTAGACGCGCCGCAGTCTGTCTCCGACGTGCTCGCCCCTCCTCAGCGGCGCTCGCGGGACATGGATCGAGACGGAGGAGTTCGCGGGCGGTTTCGCGAAATCGAACGAGAGCGAGAGCGCGATCTGCTCGGAGTGCGACTTGAGTAGCGCCTTCTCGGCGGTGAGCGAGACCTAGAGAAGAGGAAAAGGGAGAGATTAGAAAAGTTGAAAGGAAGAAAGAGTTGACGAACGAGCAGGACGAAAGAGCAGTGTGACGATTACATCGAAAATGCTACAATACCATATGGAGCAAGTCGCGATGAGAAGGTAAGAGGTAGGTAGAGTAGGTAGGAGTTGTGTGTACAGTGCTGCGTGGTCTTTCTGCAGTAGAGTCAGAAGAGTGGAGAACAAAGGAAAGTGGCAACCACCAACACCTGCTTACAGATGTACCATCTTATATTGACTAGTAACGCAGAGAGAGCTTGGCAAAGTTTGCAGAGATGAGCTTGTCCTCTGCCCCTTCTGCAGATCAACTGTGCAAGTCAATCGCGTTGACATGGTTTGCCGCCAAATGGGTTAGGATCAGTCAAGTATTGGGTCGGAGCCTAATCAGTTCAAAGGTGGTTGTCACCGAGGGTCAAGGAGGTGTGTCAAGGCGTGTGGGGTCACAGATCTGCAGAGGAGATGAACAGAGGTGCCCCCTCGACGGCGGAGAACCGGACGCGGAGAAAGAGGAATTGGTCATATGGAATCAAGGGACAGCGCGAAGACAGGATGCGTCTTCAAATGTAAGAAAAAATATAAGTTCAGTTACTATCGACGCAAGTTTCTGCTGTAAGGTGTACGTTTGGGAATCATTAGAAGGCAATAATAAGTTCGCATACTTTCAAACGACGCGGCGAGGAGTGGTGCCGTGGAGGAGTGTCAAATGGGAAAGACAGCAGCTCACATACAGTTGAGAGTGACCTCAAGAAGGTTGGGGAGAGAAGCGCCGTGGTTGGAATCATTGTCCACCTCCTCGTCATAGATCAGATCAAGATCATCCCTCTGCAAGCTAACGCAGTAGATGAATTAAAGATGCCATAAAGATGGACGCAGTCAGATGAGTTTTCTCAAACTCAAACTCGAAGAGAAACTCAGAAGGAACGCGCTGTATTCTGTGTGTTGGCAAGTGTCACCTATATACGGTTTGCAGAAAATGTGCATAAAGTTCAGATTGCGTCAGATATAGGGAAGCATAACGTTAGTTAGCTGATTAGTAGTAAGTTATCAAAGCTAGTTCGTAAGTTAGTAGTTGTAGTAACGATTGACTGATTATTGTAAGCAGTCAAAGTGCAAATGACTAGTTGGTTGAATAAGAGAGAATAAGTCAACAAATAGCTCTGCATACCTGGAGCGGCTTCGAGAGAAGCTTCGTCGCCGGTAATCACTGCCAGAAGATAGGCGAGATGAGATTTAAGAGAGGTGTTCAAATGCAACAAAAACCCAATAGCTTACCGCCCACCACCACCATGGCCGCGATCTCGGTCATCGCGTCGACTGCTGCGGCGACGGCTTCGTCCATGCGACATTTCCACTCGCACGCGGGAGCTGCCAATTCGGCTGATGGGATGAAGGTAAATAAAAAGGGTAAGTAAAAGCATGACCAATGGTGCAGAAAGGATGCAGAAGAGATGGGCCTCAAACGTACGTTCCATCCAGAGCACGGACCGCGTCTTCGGCGTCGCGGCTGTCCTCAAACTCGACAAAGGCGAATCCAGGTGGATTGCGAGCAACCCAGACGTTTTTCAACGGGCCGAACTTTGAGAAGGCGCCCTCCACCTCAGACTTGAGACAGTTGTCCTGGAGATTGCCCACGTAAACTTTGCAGTCCGGGTTCCAGCTTTTGTACGACATGATGTTGGTTGGTGGCCGAAGTTCGGTGTTTCAGGAAAGTAGAATACGAGTCCTGGACAATCGCAAAATGAGACGACTGAAATTGTGCCTGTGCCGCCGATGCCGCTGCCGCCGCTAAATAATGGCAGCGAGCAGAAATCAGCGACCTTTCATAAATACGAGTACACCAGCTGCAAACCCAAAAATTACCGCAGCTCTTTAATTTTAAAATTGAGATTACCTTTACAGATTTTACATTAATTTTTGTTATCATAATTATAATTTATCACGAAAAGAACCCCAAATCCTCTTCTTTAATTCACTACATTTCTTATCAAAGTGTCAACTAAATTGTTGTTAGCAGCAGATATTTTTTATCATCATTTGTACAGTATTTCAAGATTGATCAGTCTTTCAAGTAGAAATAGTGTGAAAAGTATTTTTATCAAAAGAAAAATCAGAAATCACTGAAAACTTGCACCTGTACAATCATTTGGATTCAACAATAATGTTGCTGACACGATTCACTCGATTTGCCACTCGGCCTAGTGTGACCTTTTCTCGCACACTATCCTCTTTGGAAAGGTACAAAACACTTTGCAAAGAAGATGCCAGCAAAATACTGCTTGGTGCGAAAGAAAAGTCTTCACTGACATTCAAAGATCTGTCGGAAAAGTTACAAGTAAACAAGGTTTGTTGTACCCAAAGTATTCACTCCCTTTTATTCATTCAATTCAACTGGCACACTTCAAACAGGTCTGGCTAACTGCAGCCATCCACGGGGAGCACCCCATTGATAGTGAGCTGTCAGCCCGTCTCTTCCAAGCACTGAACATCACCGGGTCGTCTGAAGAGTTGCGCAGTTTGTCGGGTGCACTCAGTCGGATGCCCACATCTCGAGGTGCATCAAACAATGGCAAGGACCCGGCGGTAAGGCGGCTGCAAGAGCTGGTTGACGTGTACGGCAAGTCAATCACCACTCTGATTCGAGAAGAGGTGGGCGATGGCATTGTCAGTGCAATCGACTGTACCATCCAGCTGGAGAATGAAAGCGTACAGAAGAAGGATGGCCAAAAGGAGGTGCGCTTCACTTTAAAGGTAGACGGCAAGTTTCTCCCCTACAAAGTCGATCACAGTCGCAAGTGAATTTCATCAGTTTATATAACAACAAAAAGGCTGTTCAATCACAATTCATGTCGTCGTCAGAGTAAACTTCTCCGTCACTGGAGTTCTCCTCCTCCTCGTCGCTAGTCACATCAGGCTGTCCAATCTGTGATTCGCACTTTCGACAGTGACACGTAAAGGAGTAGTTCTCCTGAAGGTACTTGACGCGAGTGTGGCGACTGCTGGACTGCATGCACTCGTCCAGGTAGCAGACGGTGATCTCCTCGCCGGGCTCAATCGACGTGGTCGCCTTCACCTGCAGGACGTGGTTGTTGTGCGGAAAGCACAGCTCAGAGTTGGGATCACAGCTGTGTCGAATGTGAAAACTGGTGGCGTACAGGCCAGAGCCTTCGTTGTTGATGAACTGCAGGCCTGACTTTTGGTCCATCTTCTCAAACAGCTGCTCTACAAGTTTGTTTATCTCCTCGCATTTAGCCGGGTTGTTGGCAACTAGTCTTTCAGCGTTTTCCGCCCACTTGCTGAAAGGGTTGGTTCCAATCGACTGCCCGTGACGGAAAATCAGAGCAAGCAGCAGTGTGAATCCCTGATCGGTGAAAAAAGGCTCCAGTGATGGATCGAAGACAATCTCGCCGACCATTTGGCGGATATTAACAATCTGCTCGTTGTATTTTTCTCCCAGCAACTTCCGTATCATTTCCTCGCTATTGCCCATTGAACAGGTAAACTCATTCACCTTCGCCATCATCTCCATTGGACTTGGTGACTGCTTAATTGCTGCGAGAATCTTCACCAGCAACATTATACTGGCCGTTTCAGGAGGGTAGTGGGTCGTTTTCCAAAAATTGCACAACTTTTCAATTGACTGACCCAGTGTGCTCGCATTTGACGGCTCAGAGGGACACAAGCTTCGGTGGTAGAGGTCCCAGGCTCGTTGACGACACTCGGGTGTACAGAATTGGACACCACAGGTGCATGAGACGTGGGTGGACTTGTTTGTGGGACAGCACTGTTCAGTGAAGGGAAGACTGACGGTGGGATCACCCGAAAGGCGTCGTACATTTTCCTCAGCCGTCTCTAGGGGCGCCAAGCAGAACTCACAGGCGGCATACTTGTACTCTGCGTTCCACAGGAACTGAGAACAAAGAAGTGGCTGCTCTTCAAGAATGCATTCACCAGTGTAGATGGCCGAAGTAGCCTGAAGACCTTTCTTCTGAAAAAGGGAAAAGCCGGTCAGTTCAGTATTGGTACAGTAGTCAACAAACAAAGTGGTCNAAGAATGCATTCACCAGGGTAGATGGCCGAAGTGGCCTGAAGACCTTTCTTCTGAAAAAGGGAAAAAGCCGGTCAGTTCAGTATTGGTACAGTAGTCAACAAACAAAGTGGTCAATGAGATTAGCCTTGATCAGAGAGGCAGTGCACACCAACCCACCAACCTGGCCTGGTTGTTGTCCACTGGTTGAAATGGCGTATTTGGCCATCGATAAAACTGGCGGCGAAGATCTGGCGACGATGGTAAAGAAATGGAAAACAAGTGCAGAGGAAGACCGCGCCAGGTGACCGTGTTTTGGAATGTGCACAGCATTGGCAGTACCACAACACTCGACGGCGAGGATAAAGCGAGACATGGCTGTTGAAACAGCTGTTCAAAGCTGCAGCGCCATCGACCCTAAACCGCAGCAGTAGGAGCAGTGCTTCAGTGGAAGTGAAGTAAAGTCAAGTTGAGACCACTTTATGACCACCGAGGAAGTGGGTGCTCAAAAGTGGGCGCTCCACATGATTGCACCGTTGTCCTCAATCTTTTGTTTGAGGACACCGATGTAGGGTACTGGTCAGAGATAGAGATGGAGGCAGACGATGCTTCCGTGTGGATGCTGCTCCCTCTGCAGCTATAAATGCTTTCGCCAAATGACCCATTCACTTTGATCACCAGCCACTGCTGCAGTCCACTCATTCATCATGCACATCTGGACACTGTTCACCTTTCTGGTCCTCCTCTGCAACACTGTCAGAGTCGAGTTTGTCATCGGTAAGCAAAGGTGGTTCTGAATTCATCACCAAATGACCGCTTTGACCACCCATTTTGCAGCACCGTTGTTCATGTCAATGTATCGGTTTCAATTTTACGCTGTGGTAATGCCCTATCTGCTAAAAGAATATCAACGCAAGAACGTACCCAACAGTGGAATTCGCATTCTCAAAGAGGACGATCCAGGTGGGACTTTACTGTGTTTGAGGTTTACTAGAGTACTATTCTGACCTGTTGTTTCTACTAGACATCTTGGCCGATTTAAAAGGCAAAGTGGTGGTCATCACAGGCGGGAGTAGAGGCCTTGGCGTCGAGGTTGTTCGTACTTTTCTTCGTAAGGGTGCTCGCGTCATTACCACCGCCAGTTCTCACGACCCCAAAGTGGCTGAAGCACGCATTGCCAAAATAATCGAGCCAGTGCCCAATGCCACTGGGCGGCTGGAGATATGGCCACTCGATTTAATGTCCATGAACTCGGTGATGAGCTTTGTGGAGCGTTTCAAACGACAGAACAACACCCAACTGAACTACCTCATTGGCAACGCTGGAGTGATGTTCCCCAAGTTCAAGCTGAGTGAGGACAAATTCGAGTCTCAGTTCTCCATCAACTACCTCGGCCACGTTCTCCTCTCCTTTCACCTTCTGCCCCACCTCTACGAAAGTGCCAAACAGAGTGGTGAGCAGTCTCGACTGGTGCTCGTCTCCTCCTGTCTGCACCACATTCCCAATCGAATTCGCTGGGGTGATCTGCAGTCGCTGCAAGTCTACTCACCGCACTACGCCTATGGACTCTCCAAAGTGTCCATCGTAATGTTCATCTACAAAGTAGGTTGACGCACACTTCTTTGAACATCTTTGTTTTAAACTGAACCATTTTCCTAGCTGAGTCGAACGATGAAGATGAAATCCGATTGGGGTCGATACGTGAAGGTGTTCACCCTGCACCCTGGTCTGGTCGACACTGACCTGCTCAACACCATTGACATTATGCAGCAGTACCCACAAGTGGCCAATCAGATAACGCTAAGGGTAGGAGGAGGATGCACTCAGCCTATTTGGTCCAGTGAAAGTTGATCAGCAGTTGCATTTGTTCTATTTTGTTTTTTGCAGAGCACTAAAGCAGGCGCAGAAACGCTCATTTACGCGGCACTTTCTAGTCAGCTCAACAAAAAATCGGGCGAGTACTTTGAGGACTCCAGGCCTGCCCAGTCATCGCGTCTGTCGTACAACGAAGACAACCAGAATCGCATGTGGACCATCACCTCTAATTATCTCTCTAAATGGACAAATGGCAATTGGTTCGAAGACCTTTAGCTGATTCTACTATTTGACTCATTCACCGCAATTCATTTGCATATTTTTTATTTCTCCATGTGTTCAATAAACGAGTAGGATGCACCGATTACCTGTAATCATTTAGTAGTTAGAAAGCACGCTTCAGCAGCCGGTTCAACAAGCAACTCGCGGTTAAGCTGACGCATCAGTGGGCGCCAGACAGCCAGTGTTTCTCTGCTTTTCTGCACTTTTTCAAAAAGGGTTTCTAGCCTGCTACGAACAGGCAGATTCTTGGCGTCTCTCACTTCTCGACGCCAGAAAGTGCGGGCAGAAAGGAGGCAAAGAAGTCCGTTCGCTGGTGGCAATTGCACACCACACAGAGAGTACGCCAAGCGGCGAATCAGCAGTTTCGCGTTGGAAGCAGCGTTGTCTGCTGGCAAGTGCCAGGGTTGCCAATACACACACACACACACACACGAACACACTACAGTCATCGAATGGCGCCCGCCTGTATATAGTGCACTGATCGGTGAGGAAGAACGACGACGACTACTCCGGCAGCTGCAGCCGCTGTGGCAGCAGTCCACCTTCAGCCATGGACACTTCTGCCGTCGCCCAGGGAGAAGACTGAATAGAGCGGAATATCTAGACAGCTCCGATGTAAGCACTCTCGGGCACACTGGCCACGGCATTTGGAGCAGTGAAAAGTCAGCTCAGCGAAAGTGGCAGAGGCAGCCATTCGCAGCCATTCGAACCGCAGCGCTGAGGCCGCCTGGTCAGGCACCAGCTGCAATCATACACACACACACCGCCACCACCACTCTTCAATCAGCAGTCTTCCAAATGTCACCTCTCAGAAGGACCATTCTCAAGCAACTGACATTGTGATCACACACTTCGGTAGCAGACGGCACAGCTAGCTAGGACTTCTGACGACCACCAGCACCTCACCACTTCACCACTTCACTCACTCACTCACGAGAACTGCAGCCTTGCACTTCATCTTTTCCGTCATCATCATCCTCGTCATCATCCACTCACGACACTCGCTTCCACATTCGTTCCACCGACTGCAGCTGTTGTTTTCAGCCAGCAAGGTTAGTAGTACAGCACATAAACGCTTTTTGAGATTTGAGCCACTGTACCATGGCAGGTTTTGCACTTGTTTCCACTTTCACGACCACTTGCTATTGCACTGGAAGTCGTCAATTGCTGTCCCTTTTACCAGGAAACGCAGGCAAATACTGCAGCACTCATTCAGGCTGATTAGCCTAATCAGCCTGTGATTTGCTGGAGGGTACTTTTCCACCAGGCATTTTGCACCGATTTGCAGCCCACACTTGGGCTCCCTTCCAATGTAAACACCAACCTTGAACCGCCGAATTTGAGCAAAGTCGAGCTTTCCTTTCAGGCTCTTCCTCTCCCGTTTCCCTCTCCCATATTCTCTCATATTCTGGTGACCTACAGCTCTGCTGTCCCACATCGACCAGCAGTGTGGTTCCAGCAGCCGAACGACGACGCCGACTATATACGCACGCGGCAACTCTGGCAGTAAATTGAGTTAGGCTGTGTGTGTGTTGTACAGTAGGCAATATCTGGTTGGAGATAGACAGCTGCTGCTTTCAAAGGCTGCTGTGCTCGAACACCAGAGACGTCCTCGTGCTTCTGCTGGTGAATCACTTCATCTTTTCTGACATTCGAAAGCACCAGTTGTTCCTTCAGTTGCGGTTGTTGTTATTGTTGTTGATGTTGTTGTTGTTGGCACTTTCCATCAGACAGGCACAATCTGGTGCGATCACAATCTCTTGCTTTTCAGCCTCTCTCGACCGACGGTGGAAAGGAAATCCGCTATCTGCAGAAAGAGTAGTAAGAGTTGCTGCAACAAAACTATTGTCTCCTTCTCTTGCCTTTCTCTATCTTTCCTTGCCCGTAATTTTCCTGGTGAAGTTGACTGACACTTGGCGTGGAGTCTGCTGAATGGCGGCAATGACAGTTGAAGCACAGCTTTAGCGAAGAAATAGAATCACCCGAAAGTTGCTTCTGCTGCCAAAAACTGCTTCCCCTCTCACTTTGAGGTGTTTGTCCTTGTCAGCACGGTTCAGTGGGGATAATCGAGAGAGGACCCTTCACCATTTGGGCGTAGTGTTCCCAGTGGAAAACGGGTTGGCTCGACCACCACCACCATCATCTCAAGCACAGCTGGCCCCAAAGTTGGCGCCGTTTGCTGCGCTGTCTTTGAAGCAGGGCTGGCCGTCTATTGGCGTTCAGCGCGTGCGTCACTCGTCACTCGTTCTGTTCTGACGGCGTCACAGTCACTGCTGCTGCTGCTGCTGCCACCGTCGATGCTGTTGTGCTGCTGTTGTCTAAGGCCAAATAACTCGACCCGATCTCGCGGCATCAGCTGCCTTTCCCTCATCCTCTTCACCTCCTTCCCTCGATGACCACCCTCACCTCGTGTCCTCACCTCGGCCACCAACACTCATTCCCCTGACCTCAGACGCCTGCTCGCTGTGCCGCACTCGCTTCACCAGGCCAGCCGTTCCTCGGCTCAACTGTCATCGAGGGCTTTGGGGTGAATCTCCGACTGCCCAAGACAACAATAACTTTGCCAACATCATCACCACCACCAACACCCAGCGCCGCCTTTGACCAGACTAGCTCTCTCTCTCTCCCTCTCCTATTATCTTGTTTGCAACAACTGCGCCTGGTCGTCTCTGCTCTTACACACTACACCGCCTCTTTGTAGTGGATAGCGTAGCGTATGCGTGAATGACTTGATCACCAGGCCAGGCCGCTATTTTGCCAGTGCCTGACTCATCCTCATATGATAAAGCGCTATTCTATTCTATGAAGTCTCTGTTGACATCATCGCCACAAACATTACTATCGTCGGCACAGCGCTCTGCTACAACAGCACTACCTCCTCTTTGCCACTCGCGTAAATGCTTTGTTTTGTCTCCTTTCTCTTTCTCTCTCTCTCTCTCTCTCTCTCTCTCCTGGACGCCCCCAAAATAGATTCGCTCAATCTCTCTCCGATTCATTAGTTAGCCGCCTGTGAGTTTGACAGGGAGCCCCTGCTTTTCTGGTGTTTTCCTCTTTTCGTGCAATCTCTTTTCTTCGTCTTCTGCTCTACTTTACTCTCATTTTACCTACTTGTAATTGGTGTTTGATCTCAATTGCGCATCTGCTAGATTTTTAACTTAATTCCTCTGCTCACCTTACAGAATATCACTCATCCATTTGTGAGAGGACCTCAAACCCACCTTCAAGATGGTCGCCGGGAACGAAGGGATGGAGGGTCTCATCCCTATAGTAAACAGACTTCAAGATGCCTTCAGCCAACTGGGTAAGCCTTTGTTCTCGCACTTTCTACGTGTACTTTAGCATCTTTTCACTAACTGCCAATTGTCTCTGTTACAGGTGTATCCATGTCATTGGATTTGCCACAGATTGCCGTCATTGGCGGTCAATCAGCAGGCAAATCTTCTGTGCTGGAGAACTTTGTTGGGCGAGATTTCCTTCCTCGTGGCTCTGGCATCGTCACCCGAAGACCGCTAGTGCTTCAGCTCATCCAATCAACCATGGGTAATGTGCTCGCCAAGCACAAATGATTGTACTTTTGAATAACTTGTGTCATTTAATGCAGAATACGGTGAATTCTTGCACTGCCGAGGAAAAAAGTTTACCAACTTTGAGGAAATTCGCAAGGAGATCGAAGATGAGACTGACCGCACTACCGGCTCCAACAAGGGCATCTCACCGGTTCCAATCAACCTGAGAGTGTACTCGCCCCATGTTCTCAATCTGACCCTCATCGATTTACCTGGTATGATTTTCATCTTTACACCTTTTCAATTTGGATATAATATTTTGTTTTGCATTCATCCAGGCATGACCAAGGTTCCAGTGGGTGATCAGCCAGCTGACATTGAACAACAAATTCGCGACATGCTCCTCACTTTTATTAAACGCGAAAACTGCCTCATTTTGGCTGTCACTAGCGCCAATCAGGATCTAGCAACATCCGACGCTCTCAAGCTGGCCAAGGAAGTCGACCCTGAAGGTCTGAGAACTATTGGCGTCATTACAAAGCTCGATCTAATGGACGAAGGCACTGATGCTCGGGAGATCCTGGAGAACAAGCTCCTGCCGCTTCGACGAGGCTACATTGGCGTTGTCAATCGCTCGCAGCGCGACATTGAGGGTCGCAAGGACATCAAAGTTGCCCTTGACTCGGAGCGAAAGTTTTTCATTTCTCATCCTGGCTATCGCCACATGGCTGATCGAATGGGAACGCCGTATCTGCAGCGAGTTCTCAATCAACAACTCACCAATCATATTCGCGACACACTGCCTGCTTTGCGAGACAAGTTGCAGAAGCAGTTGCTGCAGTTGGACAAGGAGGTAATGTTTAAATAAAAAAAAGTTGTAGTTGAACATCTCTAATGGTTGCAATGTTTACAATGTGTAGGTGGAAGAGTACAAAAACTTTCGACCTGATGATCCAACGCGCAAGACCAAGGCGATGCTGCAGATGATCCAGCAGCTACAGACTGACTTTGAGCGAAGCATCGAGGGCTCAGGATCGGCGGCAGTGAACACCTCTGAACTGTCTGGCGGTGCACGCATCAACCGACTCTTTCACGAGCGCTTCCCATTTGAGATCGTCAAGATGGAGTTTGATGAGAAGGAACTTCGCCGCGAGATCGCCTTTGCCATTCGCAATATTCACGGTATTCGAGTCGGTCTCTTCACCCCCGACATGGCCTTTGAGGCGATCGTCAAGAAGCAGATTCAGAAGCTGCGCGAACCCTCCATCAAGTGCGTCGACCTGGTCATCAACGAGATGGGCAACGTCGTCCGACGGTGCACCCAGAAGATGGCCCGCTACCCTCGACTGCGTGAAGAGTGCGAGCGCATCATCATGTCGCACGTGCGAGAGCGGGAGCAGAAAACCAAAGACCAGATCATGATGCTCTGCGATGTGGAGCTGGCCTACATGAACACCAATCACGAGGACTTTATTGGCTTCTCCAATGCCCAGCAGTCTGCGGACAACACGCAGAAGCGGAAGCTAGGCAACCAGGTAGGTGTTGTACGTATCCTAAATGTTGACACTCTCTCTCTCTCTTCTATCCTTTCGGCGTTGGATTGCTCTCTTTTGACTTGCCTACTTCAGGTTTCGGGATTAGGGCTACTACTGCTCCACTGTTGTGCCTACTGCCTCTGTTGGATGGGGTGTAACTGTATTATAACCTCAGATTACTACTAGTCTTTTAGTTAGCCTCTATTCAACTCACTAATCAACTGTAAACAATTGCATTGTTGACGTATATGTATTTTTTCTCTTTCTCTCTATGCTGCGCTCCAAAAACTCAAGACTGGGGTAAGATATTTTGGCTTTTTATTTTTGTTATTTATTCACTTTATGTTCATGTCATCCAACACGTTTTGCTTATTATTTTCATCCGTTTTCCCCTGTCAACATGCTGTTTAACTGTGACCAATTGACTAATTCTTCCTCTACTCTTATTGTAGGTCATTCGCAAGGGCTACATGTGCATTCACAACCTCGGCATCATGAAAGGCGGCTCTCGCGATTACTGGTTCGTCTTGACGAGCGAGTCCCTTTCCTGGTTCAAGGATGAGGAGGAGAAGGACAAGAAGTACATGCTTTCATTGGATGGTCTCAAAATTAAGGTGCGCCTAATCTAGTGAAGCGAGTTTCAAGTTTTCAACTTACAAACTTTGCATCTTTTTTTGAAGGATATGGAATCTGGCTTCATGTCTCGTCGACACTTGTTTGCAATCTTCAATCCTGATCAAAGAAACGTCTACAAGGATTACAAGCAACTGGAGCTGTCGTGCGAATCACAGGAGGACGTGGACTCGTGGAAGGCCTCCTTCCTGCGAGCTGGTGTGTACCCGGAGCGGAGCAGCGATACCAGCACTTCCAATGGAGGTGAAGATGGAGGCTCCGACGCCGGTGTATCTAGTCTTGATCCTCAGCTCGAGCGACAGGTGGAGACCATTCGCAACCTGGTCGATTCCTACATGAAGATTGTCACCAAGACATATCGGTATGGAAACTGGGTCTCTTTCCTAAGCGACCTCTTTTACTAATAATGGCAACCTCTTTTTACAGAGACCTTGTTCCGAAAATAGTCATGCACTTAATGATTAATGAATCAAAGGATTTCATCTACGGGGAACTTCTGGCTCAGCTGTATGCTGCCGGCGACCAGGTATGTCTACTATTGTGTGAAACATTGGACATGGCTCTAACCAAATTGGTCGTTGACAGAACCAAATGATGGAGGAGTCTCCCGAAGAGGAGAGAAAGAGAGAGGAGATGCTGCGAATGTATCACGCCTGCAAAGAGGCACTCTCCATCATCGGCGACGTTTCCATGCAGACGAGCTACCAGCCCGCTCCCCCTCCAATCAAGGACGACTGGCAGTTCCGCAACTCTGCTCCGTCGCCCACGCCAATGGCTAGCAACTCGATGGCCAGCAAGCCACTTCCGCCGTCAAACGTTTCCAACAGTCGACCAATGCCGCCACCGGCTTCCAATCCAAGTCGCGGCGCTCCACCGCCACCTGGTCGCCCTGCACCAAACGTTCCCGGTCGTGGCGCAGCTCCGCCTCCTGTTCGTCCGGGCGGACTCCCACCCCCTCTGATTCCCACGTAAGTACCTCCTTTGTAGTTTTGTTCAACACCTCGTGCACGTGTTAGCTTTGCTTGAACTGTAGTGTGCAGTCTGCTTATCATACTAACCATACTAACGCTCACTTCATCGTTTACGCTTTCTCTCTCTTTCCTGCTAACGTCCTGCTCACTAATTCGCTCAACTGCGCCTACTCCTTCGGCTAACTCCATCTCTTCTATCTGCTTCAATCTTCTTCTCCTTTTCTGTGACTTCTGCAACCCCTCTAGACGAATGCCTAATATCCCACCTCGAATTCAACAAGCCGTGACCGACACAGTTCTTGATGCTTTTGGAATGTCCTCGCATAAGTAAAGCCCCCCAGTGCTGTGTGAACTGCCTGGCAAAGCAAGTCGCGGTCCCATATTTAAATTAAATTACACACATTCATCCACATTGAACACACTCACACTGACCAAACACAAAATACTCGATTGCTGTACTAGGGGAAAACTATGATGATGATGATGAACACACGAAAGTATTGCTAGAGAAAAGTAAACACATGCAGACACTCATTCACACACACATACACTTGCAGCTACTTAATGTGCTACCTGTTGGAGAGAGTGCTCTGTGTCCCCAGTACAGCACAGCTCGCATCTTCCCCCTCTCTCTTTCTGCAATTGACCAATTGACTGATAATCTAACCAATTGACTCGTAGCGTCTTCTCATACTAGCGTCTTCTATGTATCTCACCATTGAATACTTTATTTATTTATTGCTCTCAGCTTGAACTCGAACATTGGAACGGAATCGGAGAGGCCAATCCTTACTGCAAGCGCAACGCAGCCTGTTAACCCCACTCGCTGCTGTTTGCTTTAAGCTTTCCTCCCCAATCGTTCGGACATTGCCCATTCGTAGCTTGCAGGCACATTCCACGATGGCAAAGGCCAACTTTTCTCGGGCATTCTTTACTCTCGACTATTTAAGTTTGTGTTTCTGTGAGGTTTCTGTTCGTCTGTTTCCCATTACGCAATTACAATATTTACCACAGCTGTTATCATTAATAAAAAATAAAATTGTCCACGTTATCACACGTTAGCACTACTGCTTCAAGCTGTCTGCTGTGTGTGTATGTGTGTTGCGCTTGCCCTCTGTTTCTCTTTGTCGCTTACTGCACTTTAGTTGATTAATCGTAATCATTTACCATTCTGATTTCTCTCTTTTTGCAGACGTGTGAATGCTATTGTCAACAACTTTAATAATTTGAACTTTAACGAGAAGCCCNGTTGCGCTTGCCCTCTGTTTCTCTTTGTCGCTTACTGCACTTTAGTTGATTAATCGTAATCATTTACCATTCTGATTTCTCTCTTTTTGCAGACGTGTGAATGCTATTGTCAACAACTTTAATAATTTGAACTTTAACGAGAAGCCCATGTTGCCTCCGAGAATACCTGAGAGGCCTCCAATTCAATTGAACCGATGAATGGAGTGCTAACCCAACGGTCTTTTCTCTCCTCGCTCGACTTTTGCTGCTACTTCCTCTCTGTTTGCTTGTCAGTGTTCCTCTTGCATTCTGTTATTCGATGTTTGCCAATTCGATGTCACCTTCTTGTGCATCCATTCAATGTCTCCTACCAGTAGCAGCCAAGTCATACATTCCTTTCATGCGCCTTCTTTGATTCAGTTCCTTTAAGTTATTTCTTGTTTTATTCTTTATCGTTCTTTGTATTATAATTTTCTTACTTTTTTAAATAATA